CAACAGATGTGAATCCACCCTGGTGTTCACTGATAACGAAGCTATGCACAAATATTTTTTGTTTCCAAATGTGTTTTAAATTCCGTGCAATAAGGTCGAATCTATTGCCATGCATTGGATACAATTGCTATAGTTTGTAACACACTTGATATTCTTGAAACCATAGAAAGAAAAAAAAATCATTTATTAAGCCGCGACACACAGGAATTACGTAATAATTTTATTTTGATTTAAAGTATGTATACATCAGATTTAAGATTTAAAGAATTTAATTGTATAGTTAAATTATTGTTTTTTTCTAAATAGCAATGTTTACGGATGTTCAATTATTTATGTATAGACTGTTTTTTTATTTTATTTGTGCGACGTCGCCGCGACCGCAGTCACTGCTACTAAGGAAAAGTCTTTCTGTGACTCGAAGATTTTCTTAGTACATTTACGTGTTTAAACCATTATTTTTAGTTATTTTAGTGTGTCTCACAACTGTTATTATATCTATAAAACTATACTACGCTGCTGCCAGAGACATCCCGAAATATTGTGTTTCGATTCACTTGCAAACTAATTCAGTTTTTAATTCAATATATGGGTTTATTTAGACTCCATCGTTATATTATGACATAGTTCTTACCCATACCCTTACCCATAGTATAGTTTTCATACAATATTAATAGACATGTAGTTTTAAAAAATTGGAAACCAGCTGACCCGGCAAACTTCGTCCTGCCCTAAAAAAACCTTCCCTGTACTTCCACGTACATTTCAAGACCACAATTAGGTAAATCGGTGTAGCCGACTAACGAACGGAAAATCATTTTTATTTATATAGATAGATAGATAAGATCTGTAATAAAGATATGTGATAGATGACACCGGTATCCTCTTGGCTTCAATTTGGCACATTGTACACTTCTGTCAAGTTTCGTTTAGTCAGTACAATCTATCATTAGGTGATCTCTTTTAAATGATGAATTCTATACAGTTATTACCCACAATTGTTGCTAAAATCATAAAGCAAATTAACCATAATTATTATTAAGATTAAAATAATAATTGTGACTTTTTTACGTGTTTTTTTATGCCATACGCTGCTGAAACGAGCAGTTAACTTCTCTGATGGTATGATATCAGCCTGGTTCCCAGTTCCATTTTACCTAGCCCAAAGTGCCTATTTCTGAACTAATCGAATGTCGTTAATTGCTGTTTCTTCTCAGGGTAAGGAGGTAGGAAATATCGGTATTATCTAGAATAGTTTAATTTAATATTGACTTATAAAAGTGCTAAATGAATTATTATGTTTTCGGCTTACTCACGTAACTGTTTGACGAGAAACTCGACTAGTTTCAAGCCATGCTAGAGACTCATATTCATGAGCAGCATTCCGCGACTGTCGCCGCGGCGCGGGCCGTAAATATAGGAATTAATTTACTATGTCTCACGAAGGTTTTAATAGAAAAGTGTTATATTTTTATAAATATCATTTATCATTCATAATACATGCTTTGGCTTTGATAAGGTATACTTAAGTCATTTGCAGTCAGTCGGTCTCTTTTTAATTACTCGTAATTATCTGTAATGGGGAAAACACTAAAGCATATTGTTCCGAGTAACGACCGCATTTTCCAACGCGAGGGATAACTTTGAATATTTGACAATTCTTCCATACTTAAAACTGTGAAATGTCAATTTTATTCTATAGTTAAGAATTAAATGATGATTGAAAATCGGCCCTAACAAAAAGTGAAGGTACTGGACGGGTATCAAATAAGAAATATATTTAGATAGTTATATAGTTAAGTTGTTGCCCTTTTCCTACGGCCAAGACCATTTTCTATTTACTTTTTATTACTAGCCAAAAATCTAATTAAAATATTCTAAAAATACTGTTTGAAAACTAAACTTTGGAAGCAATTTCCTATATAATTTTCCATTATTATAACATTTCTCACTCTTTTCATGTTTTGTTTCAATATAAGTAGGTAGTATGATTAAAAACTGAAATTAAAAATAATAATTTCTTTAAGGTATATAACTTACCTATATGTAACTCGAAAAATGTTTTAACAATAGTAATACTTCAAAATCAATAAACATTATAATCTTACACTAATATCTTGTTTTTGTATTTTCTATCGTAATATCCTAATATCCAACAACTCTAATCTCCTAGAGTAGGAAACGACATCTATCACAATGTTTCATTGTTCTAAAACTTAACATTTCCTTTTTATAAGCTTTTATTACAGTCTACATAATGTTATAGTTAGTTTCTATTCAACACAATCAATTTAAAAACTATTTTGTATTTATGTTACCAGTAAACAAGTGGCAAACTATTATGATCTACTTATTACCTAGTTAGACCTCTTAATAGTACTTACTTGAAATACCCAACTTAATAGAAACAAGATGACCTATCATATAGAATAAAATAACATCGTAATCTGACATCGAAACATAGCGTAACTTTCATCAAAAGACAGTGTCCACTTATCAGGCCATCCCAGTTGTTATTCGCTGTAAACTTGAACCAAGTTCCATTAACGCTATTTAAACGGGAGACTCAAAGCTGAAGCCAAATTGGAAGAGTATTTATCTTTCCCGAGAGTCGATTTAAAAGCAAAATCACGCGAGCACACGACGCCATTATCGGGACCGCCCGATCCACAGGCCGCGGCAACTCTATGAATCTAATCCAGAGGATTTACTCGCTGATTTACAGTCGAGCGAGGCCAAGGAGGGCGCGAGCTGCTTGAAAGAAAACTGATAATGTCTTAATCCTACCACACTCGACTTTACTCGTACCCCCCTTCACAATTTTATGGTCGCCCGCGCAGACGGCACGTTTTGATTTATGATTTCAATAATTAAGAATTCTAAGGTGCAATTTGAATTTGGAAGCCACGGCTGAGGGGCCGCGGGAGGCCGACGCGTGTTTATTATTGCTCCAGGGCGAGAAAGGGTCTCAGCTCCTACCTCATGTTTTCTAAGGAATTATAATAGAGTTTTAAGGAATTATGAGAAATTATGAAAATGAGATTTTCAACAATAGCTGCGTTCTTGAGCTTGTTTGTTATGATAGATGTGTGTTGCGTTGATATTTGTGCGTACAGTTTATTGTTAATGAGGACTTTTGCGAATAGTGTATATCCAGTATATCATAGCCACAGATGTAGGTATTTTTTACAACACATCGTCTTTATTTGCTTAGGTACCTAAATACTTAACTAAACAAATTATGTTGACCTATATTTAAAAGTTCAATCGTGGTGTATGTAGATACATCATGATGAGTAAGTAGTTACTTACTCTTTAAAAATTTCTCTTAATTACACAACTCAAAAACACAATGAAATACTGCCATTAACCAAAAACGTTAATTAAGTTACTACCAAAACCAAAACAGTATCGTTGCCATATAAACCAGTCACGTCTCATCTCGGCATCTTCCTTAATCCGGCCGCGTTCGGCTCCGCAAATTCGCACCGCGACCGCCCTTATATCGCGCCCTAATCTCCAGGCATTACAATTAACGCGGCCCCGAGATAACCCGCCACTCGCCACCCGCTGATAAAGGTCCGCACGAGCACTAGTTTAAACCGGTTAAGCATCTACCGCCCTCAGGGTTTATCTAATTACCCTACGCCAACATACGAACACAACCCAAACGCGAAAACCAACGTTCCGTCCCAATCCCGACGCCTGAAAACGCTCCACGTTTACGTAATTTCGGTTTACATCAGTACAGACTTGAGGGTGCGTCACGTACGTAAATGTTTGCCGGGCGTCGTACTATCGGTATTTCGGCCTTCCGGTGGGCTCCCTGTAGGTACCTCCGTCAAGGACCATCGATTACAATCTCGACTCGAGTCGGGCGCATATTGCACAACTTCGAGAGAGAATATCGCCGATCAATAAATCAAGCCCAATTGCTTTATAGAGTTATTATGGGCCCAACTTTATTGTTGGGCTCGGAAAACACGTTTATATTGAGGACGATATTGTCTGTTGAACTCTAGTGTGTTATTCCAAGTCGGTAATGAATACGAATTGAGTCTAGAGATGAGTAGGGATTTATTAGGAACCTAACATCTATACGAAGTAACATCAAGTTGGAAGTTTTCTGTTTTCTTGTGTGTGTGCGTGTGTTGTGTGCTTTTGGTTATTTCCAAACGTAGTATGATGTGAATGAAAAATGTGAATAAAATAAATCTAACTTATCAAGCAACCAATAAACTAATTTTTGTAATTGTTTACTTATACGAAAATAGTCTAGTTACAGTTTATTTATATAACCTCCGTTGTAAAAATACTCTTTCGAACAAATTAAGCTATACAACCTCAAACCAAAACAAACCTGAAAGCCATTAAAGAAACAAAAAAAAGTAAACAAAAATAGTCACATTGACACACTTACTTCAAAAACTTTTCTGGAAAGTTTTACCTAAGTTTAATTTCACTGATAAAAAGTTTAAAAACGAAGAAATACTAGAAAACAAAGTTAGGTATTAATCGGAAATGCGTGGTGCGACGTTCCTTGGCTCTCACGGTAATACCTTGATACTTTCTTCGACTCATCGGCGATAAATACTAACCGTTGGCGTTGGATAAAAATCAAAATACCTAGCTTTAAATAAGTCCTACATCGTTTAAGTTACCAAATACCGAATTTTAAACTACTTTACCCGTAATCTATGCTTAATTCCTACTATGTCTTACGTCGTCAACTATGACAAAATTACCTATATATTATTTGGTTTGAAAGCTCTTGAGTGAAATGGTTTTTACGTGGGAACGATTTTTGTGCAAATAAATAAAAACAACAAAGTGCTTCTAATGTGATACGTCGATTGGAAACGCCGAGAATCATTTCCGCGTAAAAATTTCTGATTGTGGATGGAATAATCGAATCGCAAGTACAATGATTCATTATATTTTTGGTGTTATTTGATACAATCGTCGGGGTCTGGGGCCGCTTCTGACTATGTCAATTGTTTCAGGACTGTGCCGCTAAACACTCAAGCCTCCTTGTCCCAGATCAACAAAAGGAGATTGGAGTTCGGCGTGGATGTAGAATCATTTAAAATAAACGATAGACGCCTGGAGCGCATCAGCAGTGAAGGCTCCATGGACGAGGAAGAAATCCACGGCAAGAGAAGACGACGGCTCCTAGACGACGAGAGAAGAGATGAACCTGATATTCGTCGACGACCGTTGCCCATGCACAGACCTCAAACCCTGCGGCAACCCGAAGAAGATGACGAGACACTAATCAGAGAAACGCAAGCGGCGTTAAGAACATTATCCGGCAACTGGAACCGAGAACCCCCGCAACAACACAATCCCGAGGAAAATGAGGATGCCAATGGTTTCGAAAACTTATTTGATGATAAAAGATCTGAAAAAATGCAGTCTTCCCCTTCCCAATCTTCCGATATGTCTCAAAAAAGTTACTCGACACACCATCAAGTTCAACATATAAATGGAATCAATGAACATGAAACCAAAACTAACCTTATCACGATACAACTAGAAAAGTGTGAAGAGTATGACAGACTCAGTAGACAGTCTAACCAATATGGAGCGCCAAATTTCGACGAACTCGTCGACTCGTCTTCCAACGAACTAGAAATAGATATGTCAGATAGATGTGATGATAGATACGACGATGACAGGGACATTAAGCCAAAACGAAAGGGTGAAATGGTGTCTGTAAATAAACAGTCGCTGTACAATGCTTACAAGGCTGCTACGGCAGCTTTACCATATTCGACACAATCGGCCTTCAAGCCGCCTGCAGAAGTGAAACATAGAATCCACAACTCATCGTTACCCAGTGAACCCTTTGGGGGGTACTCCAACGACCACGATAGAAAGGAGCACAAAGGTTCGAAGCAGTATACGGTGCTGCAGCCCGCGGGCGCAGGGTCCCGCGCAGCGACCGCGCTGCAGGAGGCGCGCGCCGTGCCCTCCGCGCAGCCAGCGCGCGACTCGCGGCCGCTGAACGCGCTCTCCCCGCCGGCACGAGGTACCGCCGCACTCACCTCAAACAACGATAGCCAAACTTTCTTAACGACCTGGCCATAACACACAACTCCGCGCTATGAACTAACTCCAAGTTTGTTTCAAGGTCGTCTCGCGAAATCTCATAACATAGCCGGGTCGATGTTCATTACAGCTGTCATGTAACATTGCATCATTGTGTAATTATGTGCACTTTGAATAAAGACTTTCATTCATCGGGATTATCCGGCCGTCGTTCGGTATTAACGTTGGACTCGTTTGTTATCAACTTACTGTAGGTTTACGTAAATACAGACTCCAATTCGCAACAAAAGCTTGCAACAAATCATCTCTCATTTGTAAGACGTCTCCATAATTTAATAGGAGACGGTCACAATAAGGTTATACTCCCACCTAAGTCGATAACGTATATAAAATACCTAAGCGTTTTCCTCGTGTTGCTGGGCGATAGCTGGGTTTATGTCAGGGCGACGAGCAATAAAAACGGGTCAGGACTGGCGGTGGGCGGGGCGTCCGCGCACCGCCCCGCAACTCCTGAAAGAAAAATTGCTAGTCCGCGCGCAGCCGCTTGGCGTTCTTTATTTTTTCTTTTAAGTTGTGCGTGGGGTGGGTGGCACGCGGGGCGGGGCCGCGCAGGTACGCCCCGGCCTCGGCACGCCCGTCGGTATCGATCGCTCGCGCACGCCCCCACCCGCTCATCAGGAAAACACTAATTTGTGCACCGCTCGATTTGTTCACAGAAGGCAACAAGTGTCCTACACCCGGGTGCAATGGGCAGGGCCACGTCACCGGCCTATACACTCACCACAGGAGGTGAGTGCTCACTCGATGATTTTCAGTAGAGCTCCACAGAATCAACAGATACAAGCCCGGTTTCAGGGAACCGATGCTCCTCCCGTAATACATAGCGAGTAACTAAAAGTATAAGGATAGACATTAGACATTGAATGATATAGTATAATGTATACTACACTATTTACATACTTCAAATCAAGTCTTAAGAGACTAACTATACTTTAGTAGTATTAGATATTGAACTTAACACTTTGTATAAGTAAAGTTATAGCAAAACTGATGTTTATTTGTTCCCCCAGTCTGTCAGGATGTCCAAGAAAGGATAAAGTCACTCCGGAGAGTAAGTAGAAGTGAAATATAACAACATACAGCTTCTCAGTTTGAGTTGCATTATATTTTGTTCTAGCAGTTTTACCTCAGTTGTTTCTTCAGGTATTTTAGTTCTCATGTTTACTTTAGTTTTCTTTGGTTTTCAGTTGCAATTTTGATGTTCGTAGATTGTTGTCGTATTTGTGAACATTTTTTTTTATTGAAGTTGTTTAGTTGATTTTGAAGGTAGAACTTTAAAGTTGTTCATAATGTAAACTATTCAATTATGAGTTGAGTTTTGATCAGTGCTGCATTACGTGCGTACGTATGTTTTTTGTATTGCTTGGATTGTACTGAGAAGTGACGTCATTGTCCAGTATTGGCGTTGCACGAGACGATATTGAAGTGCCCCACGCCGGGGTGCAACGGGCGCGGCCACGTCAGCTCCAACCGAAGCACACACCGCTCCCTGTCCGGCTGTCCTACTGCTGCGGCGCGTAAGGCCGCCGCTAGGTCTCAGAGAGCCAGACCTGCTGGTAAGAACCTCTTTTTTGATATTTCTTGCTTCTAAACTGAAGCTATGAAACTTTTTTCTTTATTTCTCTATGCTCTTTAGTCGTTCAAACTAGAACAAGATACTTATCGTATTTAATTGTTTCTAGTTTTTAATATTTCTGAACTTTTTAAAACGAATGAATACAGATTTACTGACTGAATATGGTGAACATTATAAACGTTCTTTTCTTAGTTCTTATGACAGTATAAGTCATGATTTTTTTTTTCAAGTTATGCACGAAGGACATAATAAAAAAATAATCAGGACAACATAAGCAAATAATTAGATCAATCAGTCAGTACTAATGTTATCGTGTAGTATGAACAGTAGGTACCTACTCATAGCGAAACTATAGAGCAAGACTTAGAATTCTTCATCTAAAACAGATTTCTTATAGCAGGACCTATATATTCTCCAACAATCCAAAGCAATATCTATCTTGTCTCCAGTATCACACAGCTCAATATCGCAGCCACCAATCGCAATCAGCCAGGAGAGTGTAGCGAGTTCTTCGGGTAGTATTTCTCGGGACCGCGAGGCGTCGCCTCGCAGCCCCGCCGTGAAGCGAGAGGGCGAGCTGCTGGTGCCAAAGCGCGAGGCCGCCGAGCCCGAGCGCGACTCCCCCAGCATGGAGACGCGCCACGCCGGCTACGGCGCGCCACCTGACCAAAGGTCCCCATATGAAAGACCCCCCGATGACCATGTGCGGTCGTACAGGTAAATTGTTGTCATAAATTAATTCGTATTATTTTTATTGTTGCTATTCCACAATGTTAGTGCAGATAGCGAACCAAATAAACAGGATAAATGTTTGAATTAAAACACTCTTCTAACTAAACAATAGGAATGCAAAAATTAACTTTTAAAGAAATATTTGAATACTTGTTTTGTAAAATAATCTGCCTCAATATTATAAGAATGTAAACAATGGAACATTATTTACTATGTCAGCTTATATCTATTAAACGCAACATTAACCTAATTATTTATTCGCTTGTGTACATTTCTGTATATTTGGAAAGCTACAATTAGCTGACTACTGATGTTTTAATAATATTATAGCTAACTGTTCAAGTAATGAACCTGTAATATTGTTAAGTTCAAGGTTAATTTAATCAGCGTTCATAATGCATAATGCCTATTACATTAGTTGGTATACTTCATACCTTAAACTAACGCCTTTGTTCAATTTAGTAACAAGTTACTACGAATATACGTACTATTTAAAGAGTAATGTTTGTAACAAATAAATATGAACAACATTACAACGGTTCTACCATATCGATATCGTCATTACTATGTATATTTAAATAGAGAGGGTTATCACATAGTAATTCATTTCGTAGTCAAATGAACGAGGCGAGGTATGGCTACGAGTCGCGGTGCTACGAAGGAGCTCCAGCGTTCGAGCGCTACGACCCCGCACAGTGCCCCCAACGGCCCTACGGCTGGGAAGAAGAACGCTACCATGACCCCCACTTACCTACCCCCATGAAAACCGACCAGTCTGAACAAGAAACCAGCTCAGGACCCATATACCCTAGGTAGGTCACAACAACAATGCCGAACGCCTATGTGGTAAACGGGGTGCTTAGATCCTTGACTTTCCAAAAACTTAGACTATTCGAACAAAATAGTAAAATAGCGATGTAGATTTCGGTTTTTGTTTTCCTCTTACGAAATGATCGAAATTGGCCGTACCTATCCCACCAGACCAATGTACCACTACGAGACTGGTAGCGGCGTAGGTGCGGTGGGTGGCGTGGCGGCGATGGGCCCCGGCGTCCCGCCCGGCTTCTCCGCGATCAACTTGTCTGTGAAGATCGCCGCGGCACAAGCGCAGCGACCTCGGAGCCCCACGCCCCGGGATCCTCGCGATCCTCGCCCCGCCATAGATCTTTCCACTTCTAGTGGTAGTCCACAGGTGAGAAACGACGCCAAGCATTAGACGAACCGGCCCATAAGTTAATTGCCCAAACTAAATAAATTTTCATAACAGGGTCCATACGCATCTCCGGTGTACACAAGCGCCGGTGGTGGCAGCGGGGGCGGTGCCCGAGGCAGCCCGCAGCCGGGAGCCTCGCCTCAGCTCACAGCCAGCCCTCAAGTGCCCAGTCCGCAGGGCCAAACTCTCGACCTTAGCGTTTCCCGTTTACCACATAGGTGAGGCAATTCGTTCTGTAGGTTTAACTTGTGTACCCAACTGATTATGGAAAATTAAACTAACTTATTTTTCAACAGTCGAGGTTTCCCCGGCGGAGTCTCCTACAGTCGAGAATCAACCCCAGACAGTGGTGGCAGTCATCCGTACCTTGAAGCTTACCATCGAGACACCGCCGGTAAGAAAATAAATCATTATACAAATTATCATCAGAGCATATAATTTTCTTAGCTCATTTTGCTCATTTGTATGAGCTATCATATGTCTCATATTCTCAACATGTAACCCTTCGTAAGGGCTCGTACTCATTGGTACCGTTAAACACGTCGTACAAATTAAAACGCGACCGCGGTAATGACTCCCATGCGTTGTACGCGCGCGGTAACCTCGGTAATCCGGCGGAGTGCCGACACGCGGCCCGCTCTCAGCGCCGCGGTTACATGCCAGTGTACACCGCGGTTTTTGTAGATCACTGTATACGAAGCTTTAATTAAAATTTATAATAGCTACTGGATTCTCACGGCGCTCACCGTATTCTGTAAACCGCGCCGTACAACATGAGTGGGACTCGTTTTATAATGTACACAAAAGTTTCCCTCGCGAGGTTTTTGTTATAATTATAAATCTTGCGAACTCGAGGGTTGGAGTAATAATTATGGAATACTTGATTAGAAACTGAGCATATCGAAGTACATACTGATATGGATGGATATCTAATATACTAATAAAGGGGAAGCTACGTCTACATTCATAAAGATATTCCAATCTTTACTCTGCCACGAAACAAATGTGCAATTAAAAAGAATTCATGCAATTTCATCATATCATCATAGACAATTTAAGCACCCAAAGAAGACACTAATTTACTCTTATCATAGGTTACGGTGGTGTCAGTCCACATCCAGTAGCGGGTTACGGGCTAGCTCAGCCTGATTATGCGGCGGCAGCTGCGGCGGCTGGCTACGGTGGCTACCAGTACCAGTGTGGAGCGTATCCGCCACCGCCAGCGTACCCGCCGCATGCACCGCCGTACTCCCCGCCGTGCTACATGCCACCCCCACACGCCCCGCACGACAAACCCAAAGATAGCAGGTGAATATAAATATAGTAACGTTTATTCTAGCGTTGTTTATTTTACATTTCTTGATAAATGTTTTCTGATACATATATTGTATTATTTGGTAACGTATATCATATGAAAGGCAATTTAGTAACCTTTAAAATCAGAGCATTTTGTTGTAAAACAAAAATGTTTTGTTAGAGTTATAAAGGCTTCGATAAAATTAAAGAAAGCTAGTTGCTATGTTTCTTTAATGAAGTTTAGTGTAGTTTAAACTTGGAACCAAGGTCTTGTGATCTTGTCTATTCAAGTCATCGACATCATTGGACATTGATGATTAGAATGCAATGCTAATGTCAAGTCCTTAATTAGATGTGTAACATTAATTGAATAAACAAGATCTTATACACTATTTAAGTCAGATGTCCTCAATAATACGGAACTTATAGTTCGTCACTGTAGCATAGATATTCCCTCACGAGATCTAATGTGTTACATTTATCGGAATTTTATAGTGGTTCTGGAAAATTACAGCGCTCCTAAGACCAAGGGCAAAGGCTTGTTTCCTACGCAACCTAAGGACTTTAGTCACGGCTTAAATTGCGTATGGTAAAAGTATTTAAAGGCCTTCACAAGCCTACATCTAACTAAACAACTTGTCCGGCTCCACAACCTTGAGACTTAGAACAATTTCTAGGAAGTTGGCTTGTTCAAGGTCGTCTAGTATTAATGTGTAGTCAAGGAAACCTGGACTTAAAATTTTAAACTATAAGTTTGAAATCGCCTAATCCAACTAGAGCACTTAATGCTTAATGCGCTTAATGCTCATTCGGTCTCCGTGTGAAGAAACCCTTTTGCTTAGCAGTAATATGGCTAGGAATATGCTAATCATGATGTATAGGATGTGTTAATTATTTAGGCTATAAGTCGGTACTATAGTAAGTAATAAGTATATAATAAATAGTTTTAAGATGTAAGTAGACATATAATTATCCCCTAATGAGTTGCGGAGGTCAGACATGTGTCACTCCGTAAAATGTAAATGAGCAACTAATCATATATGAAGCCATTTGAAAACCAGAATTATGTTAATTCCGCAGCGGTGATTCTGTAGTAAATATTCTTTCTGTGTTTTTACCGGGGGGCTATTTTACATTGTTTTATTTTTCGTGTCAATTTAACGGTATTTACATCTCATCTATTTGTATAATTGTTGTCTGTTGATATTTCGATTCTCAATGATTGCAAACTTTATTTTTACGAATTATGTGATTTCATCATTTTCGCGGGCTTTTTCACTTTAAAAATTGTTTTTACACAAAAATAACCACATGGAACTTTTCTCCCTGTACGGAACATTCGTCTTTATATTATAGGCAATAAAGGCGAATTTCTAGAACTTATGTTTGAGTAGAAGCGGGTAGCGAGATTTTTTTTCATTCTTTTGTAAGTTTTAAGTATTTCTTCATTGTTGTTTTTGGTCGACAATACTTGTGTAAAATAACAATTAAACATGAATATACTAATTTGTAATACTCTTCTTAGCTTAAGTGCATTATGAAAGTTAGGAAGTAGGTACAAAACCCGAAAATATCTTTATCTTTTCACTTTCCAAAATAATAGGTACTGAGATAAGATACCAACTAATTAGTTGTTAACAATTTATAGACATGACGTCTCTTTTCTGCATTTCTGATTACGGAATTCAAATGTTGTTAGTCAGATGTTGTACTCGGCAGAGGAAACACGTCTGTTCTTCCACTACTGTCAGTACGTAAGTACGTACTTACTTTTATTACTTTAAATAAAAAAAATAAAAGACTTAGTACCCTTTCGCAGCTGCTACACAAGTGTGCTCGTATTGAATTCATCATAACGTGTTTTCTTTTGTTGATCGACACAGAGTGAATGACGTAAGTGAAAACATTCAACACTTGGCCGCCTTTGCTCCTACTCAGTGTGCGTTCGGATACTCGCAGAAAATGTTTAGCGTGTCTTTTTTATTCTGTGGTAGCTGTCAAAGTTATGTGTGAGTTTAATGATTATTAGTGTGAGCTGTTAATATAACTACCTACTTAATATTTTTTAACTGTGGTGCTTAATTTTAAACAAGATATAGTGATATAGTGTGTGTTTGTTTATAAACAATATGACTAAGCAATTTCATTCTAATCTTGGGTATGTATTGTTTCTTAATTATGAACTTTATCAGCAATTCTAATGACTTTGTAGGTACTGTTTGACATTTACAGACGTATCATTTCCGCGGCGGTTGATTTTAAAATAGCGGTAATAGTTGATAACATTTGATTCGTAGTTATAAAAAAAAAATACGAAATTAAAAGATCATATAATCGAAGTCCATAGGAGTATTTAATACGTATATTTTATATTTATAAGTTTCAAAAGGCATTTTCAGGTTATTGTATTACATTTAACACTTACTTAACTACCTACTGTATAGAAAAACAAAACAAAAAAAATAACACGTGACATAAATACGTGTTCCTTCAAAATATCCCACGCAGATTTTTTCAATAAGAACAATTACAACTCAAGTTATTTTAGGTTAGAATAACTCTATTGAAAGTTTTCGAACGTACACAAGTCACACTTGGTGGATCAGTCTAAATATACCGGCGGCGGCCGCGCAGGCGCGCTGTGCGAGCTGCGCGCACGCCAGATAACTAACTACACACGAACGATAAGATACATACTTTAAATTATATTTGTGCTACTTTCCTGCCGTTATTATTAACAACGGCGCAGATATGCGGCGAAATAGGTGAGAACAAAAATTGTTTTATTACTTTTTTTTCGTATTGTAATTTTTTTTATAGTTTTCCTATCATCGTATACGTAAACACAGCACCAAGTAGCTATTATTACCAACTTTGTAAACATTTAAAAACTTCGCTCCATGAACTAGATAACATTTTTGGAGGCAAAGTTTTAGTTTACAAACTTTTTCTGTACTTGTGTTGTCATTTATATCTTCACCGGGTCTCAATTGAAGATTATTAGGTACAATATCTATTATCTTTTTAATGTTTTCTGTTTGTTTTATTTTTAACATTTTCCTTTATTATTATTTTTTGTTCAATACTGTTACGTATCTATTTATTCACGCTAGCTATCACCGCGACGACTTTTATGGGAAACTGAGTTACCGGATACGGGAGTCGAGGGAGCTCATCCAGTGCCCTGTCGAGAGCTGCGACGGCTCCGGCCACATTTCTGGCAACTTCGCGACACACCGCAGGCAAGCGGAGTCATTGCTGAATACGTTCGCGGTTGCATATCTGCGGCTGTGCAAATTTTGAACGTCGAACAATATTTTTTTTCTTTATAGTTTTTTTTATTGCATTGTAACCCAGAATGACCATTAAGGTTTTAAATCACCAGAACTCTCTCTCTCTCTCTACATAAAATATTTTAACTTCTTTGTCGGTTGACTGAAAATTACGATTCAGATTACTTATGACTGTTATCGGTCAGTTTAACTTTCTTGTTATTTTTCTCTCCAATACTTATTGGATTTTAATAAATGAAATTGTTCAAAACAAATATTGTTCGATGTTTCACGTTTGTACAGCTAAGTAGAGCGTCAACAATTGCGCCCCTGAGCGACAATTTGCGCATTTCCGCGCCAATTGGCGGCGTCCCACGGGATTTTGATGCAAACTAACCGCATGCCTTTATTAATATTCCTCGTTTGAGGTCGAGCCATAACAATGTTTTACGCCTTGTTACTCTAACAATATTGCGTGTTCTAGTTGTGTGTGCAAATAATTATAATACCTAATTACAAATACTAAATAAACAATATCGTGATAAAGAAAACGTGGAAGACACTACGTCACATACATGTTCTATAGTACCAAAGATCTACTATCGCCCACCTGATAAAAATTACATTATACAGTATAGCTGCAATCGGTGACAGAATTTTTATCAATTTAAAATCTTATGACGTGGAAGATAAGGTGTGTTTTTATGAAGCAGTTAGTCGTTACTTACGTAGGTCGCCTGCATCATTATTTGCATATGTTGCGTATGACTTAGTGCCTCGTGAATTCGTTACTCTACTTTTGTTTTCAAAGATAAGTACATAAACAATGACAAAACAATGTCGCAGCTCTATGCTAATGACTGTTGATGCTTCTTTAAAAGATTTCAAAACAACGGAATAGGTATTTTAGAAATCACTTAGCAGCCATTTACCATTCTTCATACATCCTAATTAATTTTGTTTCCAGTTTGTTAAAGATAATCGATTTCAGAATGAAGTTGAATCGAATCCTAAAATCATAATCAATCCAGATAATTTACCTAAATCAATTACGGTGTACAATAATAATTTAGGTATTAAATGAGTTATATTACGAAGATAAAATAATACTTAACTCGAAGCAAACAGTTAATTGACATACTTACTTACTAGCTACCTACTATTCGCTTCTCTATCAATTAGCGCATTAACAAACAAATAGGTTTACGGTAATCGTCATAATAGACTAGATAACTTAACCTCGTTTGCTACAAGAAAATAAAAAGAAAAAATCATAGACTAAGTTCGAATGATTCTGGCACCTTTATTTATGGATACTACTACTATTCGAAAAACGAAAATCTCCTTGTGTGTTCTAAATTTAAATTCAAATGCGTTAGAAGTAAACTAGCAGATGCATGCCAGCCGACTGAACTATTTTTATGATTACCAATAAATTGTAAAATGAATCTTATTTCTTGTAGTAAGTAATAAAATAGTTGAATCTTATAAAAATACACGGAGTAATTCTGATTTTGTTTTACGGTTTGATCGAATGGACTGCACATATTGGTCTGCGACGTGTTTGTTTACAAACATGATCGTTATGAGTTCATTTAGTTTATACGAATGAATGAATCAATCAATTTGGTAACGTAATGCCATTAGCATTTTGTTTCATTCTTTTTTAATTATGCGGCACGAAAAATATTGGTGTGAAATAATAATTGAAAGTAATTGGCACTGCCCGTGATTTTTTTTTAAATAAAAAAATTCGCTACTTATTCCAAAATGGGGATTATCCACGCTATAAAAATAAATCGGCAATAAAACACGATGTTTTAACTATTTAAACATCGTGTTTTATTGCCGATTTAGAACCGTGACTATTCACGGTTCTATTTATTTAATTAGGTAGATACGCGGTAAACGCATTTTTTAATAGTCGTTTGCAGCTTTACACATGACTTGCTTTAACTAGGTACCGTTCTAAATTATCTAACTTTATCGTACTTTATATTATTTTATTGCGTAGGTATAATAGAAACCTTACCTCTACGTACATAAAAGTAATAATGCATTGATACCAATCTTTGCATCATTAAAACTCCACGTGGGTCCTTCATATAAGGCCATTTGACACAGATCTATCACAAAGATAATAATAAACAGATAAAATCATGCTAACAGCGATTTAGGACATACTAAAATACTGAATTAGAACCTAAATATCTTCAATAGGTTTTTGACTTTATCACAAGTCTATAGAGTTGAAAACGTATTAATGAAATCTCGCATTTTGGGGTAGCTTGATTTGCTGTTGCCTCTACGTAGCAATAATGTAACTGAATGAGTTCTACTTGCCCTATTAAGGACACTGCTTTGATACTAATGTGAATTGCGGACGTACCATATTATTTGGTATTGAAGACTTTAAATGACGAACAAAAGCATTGATACTCTGTCAATCATATCGATTCGTGATATGAATTTTAGGATAAATTTACCTTAAGTCCTAGGCAAGAAGATTGTTATTTCAGTACTCATTTGATCATGGAAAAAATCTGCCTTCAGAATGGAAAATGGTCCATCATCTAATTTATCATGAAGGTCCAGCTGCAGCTGTATAAAGAAAATACATGCATAGGTATTAATACCTAACTAATTGTATCGCCATTTTTAGCCATGGACTGTAGCCTTCCACAGATTTTTTTAAACTTCTAAATCCGCCTATAGAAGGTTTGCTCCTTAGACTGTAAGATCTAGAAAGATCAAATCCAGCGTCGTTGTTAACTATTACCATAGCACTAATGCATCCAGCCCAGCAGATTGTGACTCAAAATCGAAAATTCTAGATTAAGATAGTTAATAGATAAAATCCAGCAAATGTCTTGCGAGCCGCTGCAAGCTACGGTACGCTGTGCCGGCACGCCATTGTAAGCAGTCTGTTTATGTGCAGCCTGTCCGGTTGTCCGCGCGCCGACCGCTCCCAGCTGCAGCCGCATTCACAAGAGCTCAAGTGTCCCACGCCCGGCTGCGACGGCTCCGGACACGTCACTGGCAACTACTCCTCGCATCGCTCCCTCTCTGGCTGCCCCAGAGCTAACAAGCCCAAGAGCAAGCCCAGAGACGGACAGGACTCCGAGCCACTGAGGTGAGTTACCGATTTGGTTATCCGATTTTGTGGTGCTGGGTGCTTTATTGTTATTTTTTACTAACTTGCCTACTATGAATTTATATAACGATTACTTAAACTTGGAGTTTTGTATTACCTTGTAACTTATGTAAAGTGCAAGACAAGAAAAGATGTTTCCTTTTGACTTCAACTAACCTTCTACACAATAAATCTTTAATTTTAATGGCTAAGTAATAAACACTACATGTGCAACTTTGTCACCAAACAACAAACTAGTACACGTATAAGTAATTTACTGCATTCATGTCCATTGTAATACGACACTCGACATCTGAGCTGCTCCCAACTAATTATATTCAATGCATTGTCGTAATTTATGTATGGCATTGAATTTCTTGGAGCATTACAACTAACACGCGCTGCTTTCATACATCTGACCTTCCAACTCAGTAGAAACTAAACTATTTAGAGAATACCGTATTTCTTCTGTAATCCAATAAGTTTCTTGGTTATTTCCACGCTGCTTAGATGCCCTATACCGGGCTGTGATGGATCTGGACACGCTACAGGGAAATTCTTATCGCATCGAAGGTAAGACTGATTCTCAGTGGAACGTAGATAGTTGTGTAGATTGTAGATAGTACGGTAGTGTGTGTGTATATCGAGGAAGGTTCGTGAGTTAATTTGATGGTTTTCCATTCCTCAGTGCCTCGGGGTGCCCGATCGCGAACCGCAACAAGATGCGGGTGCTCGAAAGCGGAGGCACGGTAGAACAACATAAGGCGGCAGTGGCGGCAGCAGCCTCGGCCATTAAATTCGACGGAGTGAACTGCCCGACGCCAGGCTGTGACGGGTCTGGTCATATAAACGGGTCGTTTCTAACTCATCGCTCGCTGTCTGGATGCCCAGTTGCCGGAGCGGCGACGCCCACACCGCAACCAAAGAAGCCCAAATATCCTGACGATATCACGCCGCTATACCCAAAGCCTTATACAGGTATGTAGCTCATAATGCCAGTAAATTCGTGCTCTTCATTCTCCCACTTATTAAAAATATATACTTATTATAATTATTTCAATCACAATGAAAGTCCCTTTGCCTCTCAGAATTTTTACTCTTTCATTAATATCGTGAGATTAAGACCCATAAACTTACTACAGATAATGTTCTGGCATTCAGGGATGGAGATGAATATGCAGACGGGGAACGGCGAGGATCTGATGACCCTCGAGCAAGAGATTACGGAGCTTCAGAGAGAGAACGCGCGCGTAGAGTCGCAGATGATGCGTCTCAAGTCAGATATCAACGCTATGGAGACACACCTTTCTCATGGAGATAGGGTAAGTTATATTTTATTTCATTGAAAACTTTTACATTTTCTAATATTTCCATTTTTATTTTTGTTTCCAATTCTTGGCTTCTTTATATTTACGCACAAAAAAAGCCATGAACGAAAAAATCTTCATTGACCTAGTGAAAGATTTTAATCCATAATTTTTGTCTGACAACGTAGATGGTACTGTCATGGCTCGAAACATCCAACTTTGAGTGCTACTAACATCACACATTTTTGTGAGTACCAACTTTTTATAATTTGGTACCACTATTGAACATAGTAGCCACTCAAAATTTACATTTTATTATTATTTGCCCGACTTTAAAATTGTAGGAAATAAATGTTGAATATTTATTCGGTACTTGGTCTTTCAGGAAAACCAGACATTAATACAACGCAACAATAATCTGAACGAGTATTATGAAAGTCTGAGGAATAATGTGATCACACTGCTAGAGCACGTGAGGATCCCGGGCGGAGGCACGGTGCCCGTGAGCTCGGCGGGAGGCACGGCGGGCGCGCCGCCGCCGCCCGGCCCCGGGGACAAGCCGGCGCACGACAACTTCGACTCCTACCTCAC